CTATAACGGTGTCCGCCCGAGCATGTACCTCATCCGAAACTTGAACGGTGTCACGTTCACCATGCTCTACGACACCGTCTTCAGGCGGTTGCTCGCAGCCACTCGATCTAGCCCATGTATCGTTGTAGTCATCATAGATCTGGTCAACTGGATCTGAAGTGCAACGAGGGCCCGGTATCGCGACGTATGGGTCGGCCTGAAAGTCGGGGAAGTTCGAACGGTCCGATGTAGAGGCGCCCGCGGGAGGTTGATATGCGGAAGCCGCAGGAAGCGAGCTCGTCTCGCGCCGGGTCGGATTGATGCTTGAAGGGGGAGGGCGATCTAGTTCGCGAGCGCGAATAGTATGCAGCTCGCTATCGTCATGGGCGAGAGCCTTGCTATGGGTTACCCAATTCGGGAACTCCTTTGTACAAAGGCGGCATTTATAATGGCCATCGGCACTTGTCTGCCAGGCTGCAAGACATTAGTAGAGGTATTTTAGTGTAGTCGCAGTACACACCATCATCGAACCGTAGAGAGGGCATGAGCGACGGGAGGCAATGTTAGTAACGCGCGCGGGCTGTCGTCCGTCGTGAACGTCAAGAGACAAGTCGACTTGAGATCGGCCGGTCACAGATCGGCGGCCTCACTCGAGAGCAACGGTGGGGAACACATGAATTACTAGGTACGTGCAAATACATGGATACGATACAGGTGAGATGGGGGTAGATAAGAGGAAAGTCGCGTTGTGAGCTTGACACCTTAAAACGGTGTGAATTTGATGGGGATTCCCGTGGCGCACGTGCGCCTCAACGAATTCCGGTGGGCGGCCGACTTGCAGTGTACACCACCGATGCAGGACCGCTAGAAGTGTCATCAGCTTTCCGCCACCGTGGCAGTATAATGCAGAACGTACACTCGTTTGACGCCCTGGATTGAGCGTAAAGGACCTCATGAGCTTTGCGCACACAGAAAGCATAGCTTGAAGGCTGACCTTCTCCATCCATGTCAAGTGCGCCTTCAACTCCGTAAGCCCGAACGATAGTACGACGACGTAGTCCTGCCGGCAATAATCGCCGCGCGCGCCTCCCCGGAAAGACTTCGGAATGCGCGAGGCGTCCGCGGATATCGTGCACAGCGTCGAGAATAGCTCTGCATGGTTCCTCAGTATCAACACGTAGTCGAGAAAGCCGATGCTACTAACCGGGTTCTTCGTCCGTCCACTTGGGAGACCGATCACCACGGTAACAGGCCACCTCGCAGTCGATTCTGTCCACGCCAAAGCGAGAGACGATATGAAACGGGCGCTCAAATTCGGTATCCTCCGTCACTTGGATGCCCTGCGTAACACAATGAGTACGATTTGAACCAAAACAAGGCATGTACAGACCTTCGCAAGGACCGACTGGAAACCATCATTCAACATCTCGATCCCGTCAGGCGAGATAAAGACCTTATGCGCGCGCTGAGCGTGGTCCGGGAGCTTCTTGTCGTAGACATGGGCGCAGCGCGAGCCGTAGGTCATTTTCGCGACACGAGCGGAAACGTAGTGATCTAGATGGAATGATACAGCGCCCTGTGCGACGGCCTTGTTCCTGGAACTCGACATCAGGACATTGTAGATGGAAAGATTCAGATGATGGGCACGTACGCGTGAGTGTCCGGGCGGAAGAGGTTTAAGCCCGCGGCATCCAGATACAGCTTGAGCTTCGAGTAGAGGTACTCGCTAGCGGCAAAGCCGCCCACGAGGAGGTATATCTGGATGCTATGAGCTCGCGAGTACGTGAGTTCCAGTCACAGCGATACATACAGGGATATCCTTATCCTCGCCCGCGCGAGCTTGCTGGTCTTCGATCGTGGCGATAATCTCACGGATGGCCGGGTCGAAGAAGCTGCACAGCTCATCGCTGCGCACGAAAGATCAGGTATTCTGTCACTTGAACATCAATGCGCGAGCCAGAATAACATACTTCGTCAGCTTGATTTGACCGTTTCGAATACCGAGCTTGATGTCTTTGTCTGCGAGAAGGGAGCTGAACTTGATGTACGAGTCGCCAGCACCCTTGAACCGCTTCTTGGTGATCCTATCGAACTCTTCGGACATGGCGTCGAGATAGCCTTTCTCGCCAAACTTCGTCCCGGCAAGCTTGGCTGCATGACAGCTATCAGCTTAAACTGACCGTGCTTCAGTAGGATAAAACGTACCTTTGAGAAACTTGTGCGCACGGTGACGAACGAGGACGGAGCCTTGGAAGATCCCTATGAGACACATGAGTTCAATTCCGGACGTAGCCAGGTAAGCAAGACGTACCCTTAGATGCAGCCAGCTCCTGAATCTCAACGGGAGCTGCGTTGATGAACGTGTACGTGCTGAAGTCGACAGTTCCACCGCCCGCGTCAATGATCATGACTTTGCTGCCAGTCTACCGGTTATTGAGTACGACAGACTCCTTCCTGTACGAGCAGAGAGGCACCCACCGAGATCACATCCTCGAGCATACCAGAGGAAATACAAAAATGGAAGGACGCCTCGCCTTCCGAGACGAACTTCACACGCTCATGGCCAGCCGGCGTGTTTGGCACGAGTTCTGCCAGAACCAACGCCCGACGCATAGCAGCTTGTTGCGAGCCCTCCCATCCATTCGGGTAGGTCAGGATAAACTCAATCTCATCCTTGAGCGAATCCCACACAAGCTGTCCACTTGCATGGGTCTCGCAGATGAACGCGCGAGTGCGCTCGAAAAGGTATTGATAAAAGTCGGCATACACCGCTACGACGTCTTTATTAGGTGGCAAGACGGTATGCGGTATGTCGGCGTTGGCCGCATCGGCGCCGCTTGGGGAACGTAGAAGAAGCTTAAACCTTTCCTCGTTGTCAGAGCATGGCCTACAGCAGAAACGGTGGCAGCGCGTACCACTCAACACGGAATGGCTCTACGACGTCCCACTCGTCCTCTTCACCATCGCTACCCTCCATATCACCACCGTCCAGCGGAGGCAGCTCGGCGCCGATCGCGAGTAGTTTGCCATTCGCATCGTAGTACACGACAGATGGTACCTTCGAGTCGCCCGCTTCCTGTCCGACGTATCTGTAACTCTGTTGAGTGCGGAGAATGCCGGAGATATACTGTAGAATGCTCACCGAGTCACCGTCTTAATTTCGGGCACCTTTCCAGGATCCAAAACGGCATAGGATACACCGCTGTAGGTAGTGCCGAGATCGAAGGCGATAACAAGCTTCCGCTTGGTGCCAGCGTAGGGCGTTCTATGGGAGGACATTGGTCGGGACCTTGTTCTAACGAGGGGAGATGATGGGACAAGAAGAACAAGGTTGGCACACGACAGTCGAACTGGAAAGAGTCGAGGAGGCGCCGTTGTGCAATGTGCACGCAAGGGCCCACAAACCTGCCATCCTCGGGCGTTGCCATCATAGAAGCCGGAAATCCTACAACACGAGGTCTTCGCGAGCGCCAATTCTAATGTCAAACAAGACACCTCCTCGAAGGTGCCGTTGAAGGCGGAGGCCCTCTACAGCTGACAGTCCTCGCAGCGTTGAGGTCGACGCGCTCCTTATGCGCGCGGTTCGGCGTTGAGTGCGGCCGCGAAGCTATTACATGGCTGAGGAAATTGTTCATAAATGTCGCTGAAAGACCAGGCAAGAGTCTTGCATGTCTTCAGATATAAGATTATGCGTCTGGTCTGCAAATCCCTCAGCTCGAGAGCGTAGACAATGTGACAGCAGATGGTGTTGGCGCGAAGACAGCGACGGCGGCACCGCCGTGAGGCGCACGGCAACTGCCGAATTTGTTTCTCACCGTTCATTCAGCTGGTGAAGCGGCCCTTGACAGCAGCAACGACGATGTCGCCTTGCTTTATCTTATCTTCGATGTTTACTCGCACTGCATACCACTTGCTGGAAATGGCTTGATATTGTGCTAAGTACTCGCGTGGACAGCGTGTCTTTCCGTAGGATTCAGGGGTTTGATCGCGCCGGCGCTTATGTCGCTTCTCCCTACAGCGCGTGTCCTGTTACTCACAAGCGGCAGGCAGCACTCGGCAGTGGCAAAAAAGATGCATTTCGTCCCTTGCTCTCCTACCACCACCCTGAGTGCACCGCGATGACTCCTCTGGACATCTTTCGCACCGTCTTCCGGTTCTTATTCCAGTACTTTCGCTGGCCGTTCCGCCGGCGTATAACGGCCGAGAAGCGCGAAAGAGAACTGGCAGACGAGTACGAGCTGCGCATTCGCCGTACCTCGACAGAGCTCTCCGGCCAGATCGGCGAGCTCCAGCGTCAGCTTCGACAGGAGCAGGACAACCATGCTGCAGCTGTCCGTTCTTTGCAGCGGTCTTTGCAGGAGCAACAGGCACGCTCCGATACCCAGATCAAGCAGCTCGAACGGGAGCGCACTCAGTTGCAGCTCGAAGGGCGGGCGCTCACTCGTCAACTGGACGAGAAGACAAAGCACCTAGAGCAACTCGGGAAGGAGTCCTCTGAAGCTCAAAGGTGGATGAGCATACGTGACGCGTGCACGGATGCACAGGTCGTTGCAGATGTCGAGGGCGTCAACTGGGAGGTGCAGAACATTGCAACACCGCTCGCCGACGCGTTGGCGGCGTGCATACCCGAGAACACCGCTTTCGTCGTGACGCCAGAAACATCTACGCATGTGCCATTCAGCGAGCAGGCTCTTACTACGCTCGGCAGCATAGACATGGATCCCGGCGCTAGGGAGGTCCTCCTGGGTATCGCTGTTCAGTCCGCCCTCGTATCCTTCTGTCGGGAAGCCGCCTTACAATGGGATCACGGGTTCCTCAGCCAGTCACCCGAAGCGCGTTCGTGGTTTGGCGCCGTGTACGACTCGGTCTACCAATCTGGTAAGTCCCGTCTTCCAGCTGTCATTTGCTAGTCGACACGATCAACTAACCCAATTATAGAACCCGCCGCGATCTCCGGCAACTGGAAAGCGCTCGCACATCGCCATGCTGGGCTCATCGCAACCACTACTCACGGGACAGTCAAGGATCAGCTCATGCGCGCCTTGATCTCAGCGATCCTTCCTATCGCTTCTGCATGTGGGCTCGACTCTGAGCGTACTTACGAGGTCATCCAGACCTCAGTCACCATGGACACCCTCGCCGGCTTGGCCATCGCCGTTCAAACGCTCAACGAGCATATCAAGGAGTCCGTCATATCAAGCTCCCTAGTCCCAGTCGTGGTCACTCCAGGCACCTTCTTCAACGGAAACGAGATGCGCGTCGGCCTCGGTGGCGACGAGACTGGGGATGCCATTGTTATGAGCACTACCGGGCTTGGGCTCGAACGGTACGAGCGGAAGGAGGATGGGTCTATCGAGAAGACGATGCTCTTACAGCCGGAGGTTGCTTTGAATGCGGTACTTGATCAACTGTAGCTCGTGTTTTGTTGTACCGATACGCGCGGCCTTTGTACGCTTAATCATGACCTGTATCACTGTAAGGGCTGGGATTCAAGACGCTCTGGCCGTCGTGGGACATTACGCATAGCGAGTAACTCATGCCTGCGCACTATGAGAGGACGTGGCAGTTGAGAGCGCCCTGGCGGATGCTCGGGCCCGTTACTCGTGGACAAATCAGGAGCAAATCCGCATGGAATGCGAAGCCCAGTGAGATTTCACAGCAGATCAGAGACGTTACAGAGGTATTATCCAAAACACTAACGTATGGGGGAGGAACAGGTGACCATGTACAAAGGTTTATTCTACAGTGGATGAGACGGTCGAGTAATAGATTATGAGGCCACAGTGACAGCGAAGTCGCTCTCGTAGATGATAGATGCAGGAGACCTGGAAGGGATGTCAGTACACGAGAGCAATAGCAGAGGCATCTTGCGCTTACCGCTTTTCAACGCCGCGCTGGGTGGAGAAGAGAAGCACTAGTCAGTCAAAGGACCGTTCGATGATCACGACGATCACTTACCTCGTCCTCCCAGGCGATCTCCGCTTTGAACTCGGTCAGCCCGAAAGATAGAACCATATACAGTTGTGACACTGAGTAAAGACCGAGCTTTCCTTGCTTGAACTCCTGGGGGATACCGGCAAGAGAGGCTGTCACAGTGCACAGCTTAGCAAAAGCATCTAGAGTACTTTCAGCATCGGAACCTGAATGTTGGGCAATCTATCACGCACCCTTATCCTGGTCTACGAACTTCGGAGGCTTGGACCCGCGGTATGCCATCACATCCATACTGCAGTCATCCTTTTCCCACGAGTCCCGAGAACGAAACATGGAGAACGACTCCCGGAACTCCTCGACCTCGGAGACTTGCTCGTCCTGTAACCATGAGATTCAGTCACGGGCCGGGTAACGATGAGCCAGGCACGGACCTTGAACAGGATTGGCAAAAAAGTGCCGCGAACCCAGACTTCACCATCGTCACCGATATACGTCGAACGGCCCTCGTATGCGGCAGGATCAGGGAACGACCAGGAGGCGGACGAGGTTCCTGTGCCATAGGTGTAGCGCGCAACTCGGGTGGAGACAAAGTGGTCTACGAAGAAGTCGACTGCACCCTCTGCAACGGCCTTATTGCTGTAAGGCGATTAGCGATCGTCAATGATATCGAAGAGATGGACATACGATGGCGTCGCAGGTCGGCACAGCTGCACGCCTAGCTTCTTCAAGTGAGCATCGAGTCGGTGGAATAGATATTCGCTCCCTGCATAGCCTCCTACCAAGAAACAAGTCTGACGTATACGCATGAGACGTAGCCGTCGTGACGACAAGGACTATGCGCACCATGATGGTAGCCTGAGAAACAGCCGCAATCCTCTGGCTCTCAATGGCGTCGATAATGGCGTCCAAACCGGGATCGAAGAAGCTAAACATCTCTTGCCTGCGAGACGATTAGCCACGCAGTCGTGATGAAGTACATGAACACGTACTCTGTCAGCATTAAGCTTCCATTGCGAATACCGACCTTGGAATCCGTGTCCAAACTGCGAGAGCTAAATTTGACGCCCGAGTGCCGCGTGCCCTGCCGGAACCTCTTCTTTGCGATTTTATCGAACTCATTCGCCATACACTGGACGTAGGACTCTTCGCCGAACCTGGATTCACGAAGTTTATCTAAAACGTCACATGCATTAGTGATATAGCATGCACGTATAGCCCAGACAACATACCACGGAAATAGTTCTCGGCGCGTTGCCGGACGATGACCGCGCCTTCAAAGATGCCTGGACGCCATTATGAGTGTCAGTGAGACTGAGTAGTAGGTGCGCACATACAATCGGAAGCAGCAATCTCGGAAATCTTGGTAGGTGATATAGACGTAATGGAGTAACTGCTGAAGTCCACAGTGCCGCCGCCAGCGTCGATGATCAGCAGACTGTCGCCAGCCTATATCAGAGTGACTCAGTCAGGTGCATCATATTGCATACGACTTCAATATACCTTGAACCGGTCTGCGTACGTCTCATGGGAAACACAAAAGTGAAGGCTGGCCTCGCCCTCGGTCACAAAGGTCACGCGCTCGCGTGCTTCCTCTTCGGTAACGATACCAGCGCTGACAATCGCGGACCTCATCGCCTCTTGCTGAGCGCCACCCCAGCCATTCGGGTGGCTGAGGACGAAGTCAATCCTATCCTCGAGCGAATCCAAGAGAAGTTTGCTCATGTTGCCGACCTGCGTCTCCCTGATATACGTCTTCGTGCATTGGTAAAGGTACGCGTAGTAGTCAGCGTAGACGTCCACGAGGGTCTTGGAAGCTGGGAGCTTTGGGGAGGGAATTCCCGGCGCAGTTGAGGAGCCTTTATCGCGAAGCAAGAGTTTGAACCTAGTGGCAATTGCGTCAGCCATTCATGCAGACGTACAATGTCTATTATGACGCACCATTCGACCTTCAAGATATCCTCCTCCTCCAAGTCATCACACGGTTCGGGTTCAACGCCAATAGACAACACGCGGCCTTTCTGATCGTAGTAGATGATAGTTGGAATGACCGCGTCCTTCGATTCCAAACCAGGGTATCTGTAGAGATTGAGGGACAAAGCACGCTTCCAAGACATCTGTCTACGCACCTGTACACAGTCTGCACGTGCGGAACCTTGCCGGGGTCGAGAAAGGCATAGGACGCTCCACTATATGTGGTGCCGAGGTCGAACGCAACGACCAAGCGGCGATCGTGACCGTTGAATGGGCGGCGGGGTGGCATAGTCAGAATCCTAGTAGACAGAGATGGGGGATGGAAGTGAAGGTGGTTGGGATGCGGGTGGTAAACCCTTTAAGTGGCATGATCGCGTGCGCGCCCTCAAAGGGCCCTGTGGCTTAGCCGAGGTTAGCTGCCACAAAGGGCATCCATCTTCCGGGAGCCACTATCTCCTTGAAGTACTCCCGTAGACTCGCCGTCGCGTTAGTTGCAACTTTTCCCCTACTCCCATCTTCAGCGTTGCTCCCTTCGCACGTTATGATCGGCCAGTTTCTGGGACTGGGTGCGACCACCACAGAAGGCGCAGACGCTTGGCAGGTATGTTCCAGTTCACGTACATCCCAACTTTGACGGCCGACGATTCGATCTCAGTTCGTGGACAATGATGAGATGGCGACGCAATTGGAAGCCGCGGCCACCGAGACGGTGCATTGCCAGGCTAGACTGGAAGAGATGCACGGCGTACTGCAGCAGATGAGAGCGCGTCTGGGCACAATGCACGCCATGGTCACGCGGAGCACTGGCTCGGAGGCACAAACTTGCAAACCGTCGGGTAACCGTGATGCTGAGATTGCCGCGCTGCGCCAGGAACTGGTGGAAAGCAGACGGGAGCGCGAGAAGCTTGCGCATCTGGTTGGCGAGCGTGATCGTGCGCTTCGCCATGTTACACAGGAGCGAGACAGCTTCGCCAAGTTGCTCGCGAGCCGCACAGCCGAGCTCGACGCCGCGCAAGCCTTTCTCCCCGCCGCAGATTCCGTCACGGACACGCACGCCATCGAACTCGTCCAGGCTCTCAACTACGAAATATCGCAGGCTGCCACTGTCCTCGTCGAATCGTTGGATGATGAATCCCGCCGACTTCCCATCTCCGAAAAGCTCTATGTTGCGGTTTGCTCCAGCGTGAAGGTGGTCGGCCAACCCATAGTCGATCTTCTGGGTTCATCCAGCGAGGACCCCATGCTCTCCTTGCAGATAGGATTTCAGGCGGTTTTGGTCCAGATGGCGAAGTTAGAGATCAATTGCTGGAGTCATCGTATACTGACGTCTGACGCTTCGAAACTCGATGTCATCAAGGAGGCTATGGCGAAGAAGGGTAAGCATCGGAACCAGTCTCCGAGGAGTGAGCTACTTACCAGTATACCTCAGAGCCGGAGCACGTCGCCGTGAGATGGAGCGCGCTCAGTCATAAGTACGCAAAGGAGGCCATCGACAAGCAATTCGGTGCAGACGAATTGGCCGCGCGTCTCGCGCGTCAATGGGCCGACGCCGTCACTTTGGCAGGTTATAATGGTGATTTGAGTTCTAGGGAGAAGTCGAAGAGTGTGACGGCCAAGGTTGGACCGCAGTTACTGGAGGTGGCGAAGCTCATTCTCCAATTGAACGTGGTCCTTGGGCAGACAGTACTGCGAGGCTGGATGTACTGTACCGGGGCGCGGGCTGGCGAGGATTACGATCCCTTCACGATGGAAATGGACTTCCAAAGCGAGGATGTAGAGGTGCAGGACGCGAGGGAGTACAGTGTCATCGGCGTGACGGCGCTGGGCTTGCAGAGGTCGGAGGGCGCGAAGGATGTTACTCTGCTGAAGTCGAAGGTCACCGTGAAGTCTGTCGCTCAGTCGGACGTTTAGGCTCTTTAGTACTGTAGCTGCATAGATCTTTGTATACGCTTTCGCGCGGGTTTGGTAATGTCATAGGTTTGGATTGCACAGGAGTGTGTGGTTTATGTAGTGTCATGAGAGAAGCTCGACAACCACGGTGCTGGCGGCTGTCACCGGGCTGTGCCTCGGTCGCAAACGGATGTTCGGCTTGAATCGGCCGAAGCCGCAAGCGAGCGGCAAATCGGCTGCCGAGGCGCTTACTGGCGCTTATGGGTTCAACTCGTAGTGCCACTAGCTCTCGGGCGCCAGGGTTTCTTTTAAGACTACAAGCTCTAGTGCATGCGCTCATACGTGTATGTCAAACAGGGTAGTGCATATCATGATAGGAGAACAGTATAGAAGTAGAAATACATGATGGAATTGAGGAAATAGGTCGAAGCACGATAGCTCGTAAGCGACGGACACGAATATGGGAGTGTTTGTCTATGAAATTCTCACTCTACTGCGGGACGGTGACGGCGAAGTCATCATCGTAAACGACCTGAGCGGGGCCACTATCGAAACTAGTCAGCATCCTGAGCACCCACAGAAGCCAGAACTTGAGACGTACATGCGCTTGACTCCCTGCATTTACGGAGTCGAACAAGAGACGATGAGTACATGGCGGGCGTGGAGAGTTGCACACGTACCTTCTCCATCCAAGTGAGATGCGCCTTAAGCTCCGTGAGGCCAAACGACAGCACGATCGCATAGTCCTGACGGCAGTAGTCGCCGCGCGTGCCACGTTGGGTGACCTTCGGGATGCGGGTGGCATCGGCCGTGATGGTGCACAGCGTTGAGAAGAGTTCTGTATGATGGAGCGGATGGGCTGAGTATAGAGGGTCTCAAGCAGACGGATCCAGATGTGGCACATACCCGGCTCCTCGTCTGTCCACGTCGGCGAGCGGTCGCCGCGGTAGCATGTAACCTCGCACTCGATGCGTTCAACCCCGAAGCGCGAGACAACGTGAAAGGGTCTCTCGAACTCCGTCTCTTCCGTGACCTGGGTACCCTACGACACAGTGAGTGGATGACGGGCGTATCTTGAACGAAGAAGTACCTTGAGAAGGACGGCCTGGAAGCCGTCATTGAGCATCTCCAAGCCGTCCGGCGATACGAAGACCTTGTTGGCGCGCTCGGCATGATCGGGCTTCTTGCGGTCGTAGACGTGGGCACAGCGGGAGCCGTAGGTGAGCTTCGCGATACGGGCCGAGATGTAATGGTCGATGTGGAAAGACACGGCGCCTTCCGCGACAGCTTTGTTACTATTGCCATGGTCAAGGTTCACGGTGATTGGGCACTGTAGGAGAGGACGTACGTGTTCGCATCCGGGCGGTAGAGATGTAAGCCAGTGGCCTCCAGGTACAGCTTCAACTTGGTGAACAAGTATTCGTTCGCGGCGAACCCTCCTACGAGCAGATAGATCTGCAGCACGTGAGTTCAAGTCTCGGGCGAGGCGAGTGTATGAGACTTGCGGGTATCTCGTTACCGGACGATTGCTGCTGGTCTTCGAGAGTCGCGATGATCTCGCGGATCGCAGGGTCGAACCAGCTCGCAATCTCACCACTGACAGACAGTCAGTATGTGTTGTCACTTCGAGAGAGGTACAAACTCACTTCAACAGCTTTATCTGCCCGTTCCGGATGCCGAGCTTCGTGTCCTTGTCGTTCGCCATGGAGCTGAACCTGACGTACGCGTCGCCGCTACCCTTGAAGCGCTTCTTCGTAGTCTTGTCAAATTCGACCGTCATGGCGTCCAGGTAGGCCTTGTCGCCAAACTTGCTTCCCGCGAGCTTCTCTGTACAATCTTCATGAGCCAAAGTAGATGATGTTATGGGTTAGGCGCACCTGTCAGCATGTTCCGGGCACGCTGACTGACGAGAGCCGACCCTTGATAGATCCCTGCGACAAGTCAATATGATTGAACGTCGCACATACACGCTTTGGCACTAACCTGCCGGCGCAGCCAGCTCTGCGATCTCGATGGGTGCGGCATTCTCGAAAGAGTAGGTGCTGAAGTCGACGGTGCCACCGCCGGCATCAATGATCATGACGTTCGTACCGGTCTGGGTACACGGTAATCAGCGCCTTGAAGCCCAACCACAAGGAGAATCAAATACCTCAATGGCTTCCTCGAGCATGCCTGACGATACGCAGAAGTGGAACGAGGCCTCTCCCTCCGAGACGAACTTGATGCGATCGTGGCCACCAGGTGTATTGGGAACAAGACCAGCATTGATAGCGGCACGACGCATCACGGACTGCTGTGGACCCTCCCATCCATTGGGATGAGTCAAGATAAACTCGATATCACCTTCAAGAGAGTCCCAGAGTAAGGCGCCGGTGGCATGCGTCTCTTTGATGTATCGCTGGGTATGATCGAACATGTACTTGTAAAAGTCCGCATAGACGGCCTCCACGTCCTTCTGCGGAGGCAAGATCGTGCGCGGGATGTCTGCGTTGGTGGCAGCCGAGGTTGACGCTCGCAAAAGCAACTTGAACCTGGCGCAAACGTGAGTCAATAGTACCGGCACAGTACGCCAGGAAGTCACATACCATTCGACTTTGTATGGTTCTACTTCGTCCCAATCATTGTCGCCCTCCGAGCCGGAGTCTCCACCGTCGAGCTCAGGAGGCTGCTCTGCGCCTACGGCGAGGAGCTTCCCGTTGGTGTCGTAGTAAACAACGGTCTGTATCTTATTATCTCCCGCCTCCTGCCCGGGCCAGCTTGGTGAATGTCAGCGTATTGACCTCCTACATCAGAGCTGAGCGCGTACCGGTTGACGGTCTTGATATCGGGAACCTTTCCCGGGTCGAGAATGGCGTACGATACGCCACTGAATGTCGTCCCAAGGTCCATGGCGATGACAAGCTTGCGGCTTGGGCCTTGATAGGCGGTGCGAGTGGAAGTCATAGTAGGTTCGGACAGAGATGGTGGTCAGAGAGAAGTCGCAAGTCGGTGGTGGGGTGGCGGACACGAGCGGGGTGGCCACACGCAAGAGCTGAACCCACAAAGGGCGCCTATTAGACGCCCCAGCACCTCCATCAAAGAAGTCCGACACCACGAGGCCTTGAGCCGTAGAAAGCGGTATATGCTTACCGGCCATATCCGTGAAACAGCCTTCGAAGGCTAGAGAAGGCGACATCCCATGACGCTGCAGTGAATGACGGGCGAAGGATATACTAGAAGGAATGGGTTCTAGCTTCAGCGCTCAGAACAGTATGCGGTGGGCCCTTCATGCAGATTTCGCAGAGTGAATGATTAAGAATGCCACTAGACAGGACTTCGTATTGCCGAGATTGGCCATGCTCTGAACTCAAAGTTTGTGAACGAGGTTCGAGGACAAGGTGAAGCGGAGGCTGCGGAGCTAAACGAACCTCCGGTAATTGCCGTGTGCGTGGACCAGACGGACCGCACTCTAGTACTTACCCTATCGACCTCCATCTGGAGTACAGTCTCGCAGGAACTACATATCGTCTACCAGCATCTAGCTCTGCTATGGAGGGGAACCGTCATCGGTCTTTACGCTGCTTTCGTCTCTGATCTCGATGTCGACTTGACATGCGCCTTTGTCCTTTCATGATTTTACGCCTCATGCCCTGCCACACGAAGAGTCCTCGGCTACAGCGCAAGCGCTACCTTCTGCGCTAACGACCACCGTCCTCGGCGCCATGGTCTCCCTGTCATCCCTGTTCGACGCATTGCGCGCCCTTCTCAACCTCTTCCCTCGCTTCTTCCGCCTCATCACTGGGCGTTCACGTCGCCGGATCGCCGCCGAGGATCGGGAGAGGGACTACGAGGAGCGTCTGATCAGCAAAACGAAGGAAAATGCGACTCTCGCTGCTGAACTTGCCGAAATACGGAAGATGTTCATCCGCACAGAGAAGGAGCGTGTCGCATCCGCTCGCGACCTTCAGCGCTCTCTGCGTAAAGACTACGACGAATCCGAACGCCGGCTTCGGGATGCCACAAACTCAAATGACCAGCTTTATAAGGAAGTGAGCACGCTGGAACGTCAGCTTGAGCAAAAGACAAAGCTTCTCGACCAGCTGAGCAAGGAGTCCTCGGAGGCGCAGAGATGGATGAGCATTAGGGACGCGTGCACAGACGCCCAGATAGCCTCTGAAGTCGAGGGTCTGAACTACGAAGTCCAGAATATTGCGATGCCGCTGGGCGATGCGATGGCCGAGAACATGCAAGAGCGCGCCGCGTTCGTTCTTCCTGCCAATGCGACTTTACCCATCAGTGCGCGCGCACTTGCGGCTCTGCAGAGCGGGAACTTGTCGAACGATGGCAAAGCGACGATTTTGGGTATCACGGTACAGTCTGCACTTCTTGCGTTCTGTCGCGAGGCCGCCGTGCAATGGGAATACGGGTTCTTGAGCCACAACGCCGAAGCGCGTTCATGGCTCGACGCTGTCTTCGATTCGGTTCATACGAGTGGTCAGTGTATATCTTCGACTTGATGATAAATGTCATAGGCTTAAACCATTTACAGAACCTGCCGCCATCTCTGGGAACTGGCGCTCGCTCGCGCATCGCCACGCCGCCCATGTAGCCGCCAACTCACACGGACAGCCCGAGCAAGTGATCTTGCGCGCCCTGCTCTCCACTCTCACACCCATCTTCGCCGGATGCGGCTTCGACTCGGCCAGGACCTCAGAGCTCATCGAAGAGTCCGTCGGGATGGATGCTCTGACCGGATTAGTGGCCGCCATCAAGCGCCTCAACGACAACATCAAACAAGGCGTTATATCGAGCTCGTTGTCGCCGATTGTTGTCAGCCCGGACATCGCACTCAACGTTGCAATCATGAAGGTTGGCCTTGGAGGAGACGCAGTGCAAGAGGCAACGGTGCTCAGCACCACTGGTCTAGGGCTTGAGCGCCAAGAGCGCAAGGAGGACGGGATAGTAGTTACGACCTTGCTCTCGCGACCGGAGGTTGCTCTGAACATGGTTCTCGACTCCCTGGTCATCAGCGGCCAGTAACCGGCTGTTCGCTTGATACTGGTAGTTCGACCAGCGTTGACATCATCGCATCACCCATTGCACTGAACGGACGTTCAATTGGTCGTGAAATCACAGTATCTTCAGTACATCCTTATCGTACATGTACACTTTGCATCAGGCTCGCATACTATCGTAGCTGTCGTATGAGCGATATCATCCACTCTACTGTACAGCCTTAACAGAAAGCCGGCGCAATGACGAAAATTCAGCTGAGAGCGTGGGAGATGTTTTAGCACGGCACGGACTGAGCATTGCATGCGCCGGATCGCTGGCCCTTCTCGGATACCATCATTACTGTTACAATGTCTACAGACCCAATCCTCAAAGACCCCAATTTCTTGCCTTCCTTGCGCACAGCCTGGAAGCAATCAACGAGCCGGCGAGCCGCAAAACACCAGACACGCCCCTCTTCGAAACCGGTTAGTAACACCGCGACTCGTCCTGGATAGCCCTGCCTCAGATATGTTGAATGGAGCGAGGGGAAGGATTGCAATCGAATATATTCACAAATTGAGATCAATAACGTATATGTTACGATAGTCATACTGGGATGTACAAATAGACATAATCACGAAAAACATATACCAAAATCTCTAATTCCGAACTTCAGTTGTTGATGTAATCACCGCTAGCATCTTGATCCTCATCGTCGGACGGCTCAAATGCCCTACCGCCATCGTCCGACTCACCCTCTTCTTCCTCGGCGATGGTAGTTTCATCTAATTTGCGCTTGCCACCGGTCCTAGACGTAACACCAGGCTTCAACCTGGTGATAGCAGACACCGAGTCCACTCCCGGAAGCTTGTGCGCTCCACTCCTTGTCGTACGTTGAACAGGCATCACGGGCACGGAATGCGTCGAAGTCAGTTTCCGGCGTTTCGACTGAGAGGAATGCGGTTCGGCCTTCCCACGTCGCGCATCCTCCCATTGCTTGACGATCGCGGGTGGGAATTGGTCAGCGGCGGCAGGGTCGTGGTCGAGCGCCCAGGCAGACTCGTCGCATACGATCCGTTTCCACATGTTGAAGAAGTACGAAGACTTTCCCAAGTCCTTCACGACGGTCTCCCTCTCTTTACGCTCCGACTCCTTCGCACGACGCGCATCGAGCCTCGCGTAGAATATCTTGAAAGGTGCTCGAGTATCGGCAAGAAGATCCTTGAGACCCTGCGGAAGAGGGCTGACATCAACGACGTCGCTTTGGTCGAACTCGCTCAAGAGGTCGGAGACGTAGGTCTTCTTGGTCTGCCCGCCCTTGTGCCCGTCGTCAATGATCTTCTTGTCCTCGAAGACGTTGACCATCGCAGCATGGATCGCCTGTGGTGATGCACCTTCCATCTTGCAGTAGCGGAAAACCTGAGTAAGGAATGAATGAGCCTCGGCGATACATATCCGAGACAGGCACGCTCACGTGGTAGAAGAGAACATGCACGAATGATTCGAAGTCGTGGCGCAGAAGGTGATCAGTGGCGCGCTGATTTTGACACAGCTCGGCAGCCATGAAGGCCCATGTTCCCTGAGGCACGACTTAGCGGCAAAATGTGATATAAAGCATGGGTACTTACCGTTCGATACTCGCGATGCGCAGGTGAAGCATCATCAGTGAAACGAGAAAGTTCCCAGTCGATAAGCATTCCGTGACCATTCGTGTCGATGAGAATGTTGCCGCCGGAAACGTCTCGATGGAGGACCCCGGCATCGTAGGCGGCGGCATGTGCTATATAAATGACAGTCAATGCGCTATCAAATACGAACGGAGAGCGCACGAACCCTCTATGGCATCACATAAGGCGGTACAGAGCTGTTTTGTCGACTCGAAGTCTCGCAAGGGCCTCCCGATCCTCTTGAGGACGATACGATGGTGTATCAGGCGTTCTGGATCTCGCGTCATATTGTCCCGCTTCTTGAACCACGGAGCACCGTTATAGTCAGCAGTGCGCGTCGTCTGCACGGGGATAGAGCGTGTCGCCCAAGAGGGATGAACAGCGTTAGTCGGCCTCGCGGGAGACGGCGTGGCGGGCTGAGACTCCAATGCGCCGTTTTCTTCGGACACGGGAGCAGCGCGGCGCAAGTCGTCGGGATGAGTGGCCGGAACATCTCCACCATAGAGGAACCCAGGTAGGTGAGGGACGCCCGCTTTCTCCAAGACACGGTACACCTCCGACTCCTTCTTCAACGTCTCGAGCCCAACCCGGAAAGTATCCTTCAGGTACACCAACGCCTTCTCTTCTTCGCTGTATGCAATGTAACAGCGCGTCGAGCGACCTGTCAACGTATGCGTGCGCATCTGGGGTAGGCCTGCGATCAAGGTGTGAAGGGAGTGTGACTCCTCATCCCAGACGTCGAATTTGAAGAGGCCGCCGTTGACGAGGGTGAGGGGCTCGACAGTCTGCTTTGGAAGCGCCTTGATCATGTCCTGAATGGTACCGTCGGCCAGCAAAGCTTCGGTGTCGGTAGGAGAGAGACGCGAAACGGAGGTATCCCATCCGCGCTCGGCACCGCTCATGCGCTCGTAGCGGTGAAAGAAGGTAGGTAGCGCCCAGTGCCTACGCCAGTCGAAGCGTTGAGAGAATACGACGCCACTGCGATCGAAACGAAGAAGGCGGGCGACTTTCGGCATGATCACGATGCCGAACCCAAAGATCCTGTGTCCAGCTTCAAAGACTAGATGCGAATACATCGCAAACTGCCCGCGGGCCCAAATGCTCTCTTTCGAGTCCCAGGACCAGTTTTTCTCCCATGCGTAGTACCCCCATGGGTCCTGAAATGCCCTCTTGAGATCGACGAACCATTCGGTGAGAGATGCCATGTCCCGCAACCTGTCGACGTCAGAGACCGGGCCATCGACTAGGTTCTCGCTGAGACCGAGCATGTCGGGGCGACGTAGCACTCGCTCCGTGCCATCCTGGTAAGCCAGACAGGGGATGTTGTGCGTATCGGCGAGGAAAACTTGGCCATTGCATAACCCAAGCTCATGAGCTCTGGATCTCTGGAGTAAGATATTAGTGGTGGTTGAGAGCGGACGGAGCGAAGGTAACGCACGATGTTCTCCTCGGTGAATTTGACCTCCTTTCCCTTCTTTGTCAAACCGAATAGAACGCTCCTATCCCAGTCTTCGCCATGCAAAGGTACAAAATCGTCAAAGAAGACTCCAATGGGCACGGGTCCACGCATGAGACTACCTGTGTGTAGGAATGTGCAATCAGATCGATGCTTCCGTGTATGTATGAAGACTAGTACGTACTGATATCCGTGGCGTGAGTTGCGTAGTCTGCTCGAGCGTCTGGGTATGGTCTGAGGGAGAAGATACGATCAATGGCGTCGCGAGCGCGTGCAGGTGTCTGCGTGGTACCAGTCCGGTCAGCTGTTGTGACGGGTTTGGGGGTGACGGGTCCACCCATGACGAGCGCAGGCGAATGAGGACGAAGTGACCACTTACACCCTACAAGGTTATATATATGAGAAGAAGGTGGTTCACCACGATGCGGGAGTTGGTGGTTGTTGGTTGAGAGCAACCACTACAGCCACGCGCCGTCGTATGGATCGCGTGATCGCGCCTTCGAGCTTCCCGCGCCTTTCGGCCCGAGCACCGAAGAGCAACCGCTCCTGGGACATTTACTTTATGCCCGCATGATACCATGCTTCACCGCCTGAGGGCCAACGCAGCACTTTGACGTCGCACATATTATACTAGCAACACTCGAATAGACATGGCAAGGCAAGGTTAACCCTAAAGGACAATAGGTGCGTATACATCTTCAGTTGTAGATATTAGATCTTCAAGCTTCAAGCTTCAACGTTCAACGTTCAACGCTTTCCGCCGCAACATTTTCGCTAGCCACGAATATATTCACGGTCCTAGCAATCGACCTTTTAACCATCCCGCGCCCAAATACCTCGGACGGGACATCCCATCATTTCACCTGCCTCTTGCATGACTTCTGCATGCCCAGCTGCAAGATCTCCAGTCAGCCTTGACGCGAGAGAATCGGGGCCTTAATGACTGACTATTCTTCCAGCGATGTGGTCCAAGCTCCTCAAGCCTATATCCCTCTTCACTATACTGAGGACTAGGGATGTCGTCTACACTCAGAAGCCCCACGGCGAGTGCAAGTCTCTCCAGAAGGCGCTTGGGACCAACCGTACGCGGAGCGTACCAGGGCTTGGAAACTCTCCTGTGCAAGATATGAGTGATTTGAGGGAGAAAGCGACTGGCACTGGTGGACGATGACTCACAGTATTGGATGCGAACGTGTCAGTTTGGGGTGTAACGTGGCCGAACCCGACTCGAGCGGAATGATGCACTTTGCATGCGCCCGCGGGGGAAGGAAATGTCGTTGAATGACTCGCATGGCGGCAGCACCAGCGCTCACCAAATCATGCAATGCGCGAGGTTGTTGGGGTAGCCTGCGATCATGTCAGCATTTCAGACCCCGGAGAGTGGCATGTCGGGTACGGTGGCTCACTTCATGGCCACTCTCATCCTGTCATCCATTGCACAAATAGCGATGCGCTTGAACGGTCCTCGGAAGAGTGAAGGAACACTTGAGACAAGCTCTTCTAGCATGCCCTCCGCCAGCGCATGATTGGTGTCAGCAGGGAGCATCTCGCGCGTCTCGTAATCCTGGAACCTTGAGGCATCAGCGAGGGTACAGTTGGCGATGAATCCGACGATACCTCGGCCCACGCTTCAAGTTCGGCCACGGTGCTCGGGATATCCTTGATGCCCATCATCTCACCGATCTGCCTGTAGAAGACATAGCGAGCCTGTATCTCCAAATCAGAGAGCGGACGCCAGCCGTATAGCCGGATCCACTTCTGCAGGAGCCCCGAACTCGCATTAGAGACAGGGGTGTAAGGGAGATATGTTCGCTCATGCGCACTATGGGCTCGAAGATGAACAATGCCAACGTATAGAGGTAGTCATCATTGCTCTGCGCGTACATGTCAGCATGATCCTCCGATCCAGTTGACGTAATGACGTACTATCTTGTAGTGGGAGTGTATCCAGTTCATGCGCGCGACCGCTATGAACGTTCGCGGGTCCGTACTTGCGTCTTCTGTCCCGACTGATCCCGCATAGAACTCCGACGGCGGCTCCTTCGTGCTGATAGGGCAGGTTCCCCAAGTCGCTGCGGAGCACACTATTGAGCGAAAGTGAACGAATAAGACAAGGTGACTGGCGTACCGGCAATGATTGCTGTCTAGATTGCGGGGAACCGACAAAAGGACGTCAGCTCGGACAGCTCGGCTTGCGGCGCAGGTACAATCCAAGTCGAAGTGGGCATTGAGGTCATCGTGGCGTGCAAACTCACATCGAGGTACCGCTTCGACACGGTCGGCCCTGAGCGAAGTTCTTTGGTACCGCATAGCACCCTTGATATGGAAGGCTGGAAGTGACAGGCGGGATCAGCATCGGCGCAGAAGTGATACACGTTGTACACGTACTATAGCGTACGTGCGCACGATGGCGAATGAGAGTGAGTTGAAGACTATAGAGGGCATATCCCAAAGCATGGATGCGTGAATGATGTCTTGCGCCTCGGCAGGTGTAAGGGCGTCAAGGTCCCGCAAGCGATGTTCATACTTGTGATGAACGTGCTTATAGACTCGCCATCGCGTTAGCCGGACATAGAGGAGGTAGGAGAGGAGAAGGACCAGTGATACTGGAATGACAGAATGCACCGGTAATTCGACAGAAGGCAGCATCTTGCGTTAGAGCAAACTTTGAGGGAAAGGGCAGATTATATAGTCGGTCGGAGGGTGACGCGGGCCGCGCGCTTATGCTCTTCCCCCACAACTACGATATCTGGCATGCTCGGCTCAAAACTGGAGCACGTTGACAGAACTCTACGGGCCTCTATCGACGCCGCCGGAGCGTATATATGAACGTGCAAACCTCGTTCCTGCGCATTGCATGAGCTTTCTAGGGCGCAGGGGTAGGTCGCGACGCACTCACGGTAGCGTGCTGCAGCATGTCGGTAGGAACGGGGCGAGCAGCGGGGGTCGCACTGAGACCACCAGACTGATACAGGCTCTCGGGGCCATTCCTAATCAAGGCATCGTCTTATTGGGATACAATTGCGTACACGAGCTGCGATATTCGCGGGAGAGTACAGATAGCTCTCAAGCGGCGAGGCAGAGATATATTCATTCGGATGGTCCTCGTGTACATGGAATAAGTACCGAGCACATAGGGCTATTCCCCAATCGCTAATATATGCGGTCTGAACCTACTGTGACGTTGCAGCAGGGGCAAGATGTTATTGGCGGTATAAGCGCCAGAGTAAATATCAGACGGTCGTGCACGTAGCCCAAAGGCATCGACACAGCGGACCAGGTCGGTTTTGAATGGATGTGACTGCGCGGTACAGCTTCAGGGTTATATGAAGGTTACAGAGCAAGCTTTCGAAGCCGGCAGTAAGGTGGACTCGAGGCAACATCATCGAGGCAAGAAGCAAAAGAATAACCCCGTGTGTGAGCCCCCGGAGCCGCGTGTTCTACACGCGTCAATGCCTGTCGACGGTGTGTCAACGCGTACATGTGACGAGGCGGCGCGTCGCGAGGCCAAGTCGCGTTCTTGACTGCGATCCACCAGCACCCCCAGGACGTTTCGCGTCTACAATACACCTGTCATATCATGTGCTCGATACTACCCTCGGAAGACTTCATGGCGAGTTCTCAAGCTACGTGTCGCGTTGTACAGTATACCGGCCTATACCGGCATCCCCCGCCCAGAGTGAAAGCGCGTCATCCGGTAAATGTCAAGTCGCCTTCGGGGTGGCTACCTTCCACATGCGGAGTTTGCTCGTGGGCAATCAGTTTTCTGGGAGTCAAGCGCCTACTTGATCTATCGAGTGTCAAGAACGGTATTGTCCTCGTGAATGATGCTGGGAATTCATACGACTGCTTATCTTGTTGGACCGACACTCGCCTCTCCCGCTATCCTCTCCCCGCAAATTCTCCCTCTTCTACCAGTTCACGGCTTTACTACTCATCATTATGGACGAGGAAAAGGACTTGCCGCTCGGAAAGGAGGAGATTGATGAAAGCCGGGAGGGCGCGTTCAATACATTCGACACTACCTCGTCCGAGGACTATGCCCAGGAGCGAGCGGCAGTATCGTCGGCATACGAGATGAAGAGCAAACTGAGTACGTGCATCTTCTTGCTTTTGCGTGCATGCCTAACGATACTCTGCAGTTAACGAGTGCTTTCAGCATGAGTATGTTTACTAGCGCGGCTTTTCTGTGATGCACAACCTCACAGTGCCCAGGATTGGCTATGGAAGATATCAGTGGGGAGTCTTCATGCTCACAGGTCTTGGTTGGATGGCAGACAGTACGCCACCTCGACTTGTGTGTCGTGGCCCATGTCGCTTACAGGCCGTCTATCCCAGACATCTGGTTCCAAGCTGTTGCTCTCATCCTCCCACAGGTGCAAGTGGAGCTTCCGGTATCCCACGTCGAATATGCCACTCTTGCCCTTTACGCAGGCCTTATCGTCGGCGCTTCCACCTGGGGAATTATGGCGGACGTGGTTGGACGGCGGCTATCTTTCAACATTACGTTGTTCATCGCAGGCGTCTTCGGCATTGCTGCGGGTGGCGCGGACACTTTCACTCAGTTGGGTGCTTTGACTGCCTGTGTTGGCTTCGGTGTTGGCGGAAAGTGCGTTTATCTCACGATACCGATCTAGAGCTGATTTGACTGATTTCGTACTCTCAGTCTTCCTGTAGACGGTACGGAAGGACCCTTTGCAAGTCCTGTTCTCCGGCGCTCATGACTGTTGTAGGCGCCATCTTCCTCGAAGTCATCCCTAAGACGCACCAATGGCTTCTAACGCTACTGTCGATATGGTGGGCGCTGGGTCAACTCTTCGCTTCTCTCGTCGCATGGCCTCTCATCGACAACTTCTCCTGTGCAAGCGATGCACATCCTTGTCTGAAGGCCGACAACATGGGTTGGAGGTACTCTGTGTACGTTTATTGGGCCACTTATGCCTGATGCTTCGGTCTCACCCGCCCTATTTTCTTACAGATATATCTTGTGCGTAGTGTCCAAACGTTTTCTGTACTATAACTGAACTAACTCGTAGCGGCGGTATCACATTCGCGATGTTCATCGCGAGATTCTTCCTGTTCAACCTACAAGAGTCCCCGAAGTTTCTCGTGGCCAAAGGCCGAGATGAGGAAGCCATCAAGGTTGCATCGTCTCAATGGGTTTGTTGGGCCGCGCGTTGACTTCTCCCGCAGGTACTCGAGTATATTGCGACGCGCAACGGTCGTAAGATCTCTCTTACACTCGCGAAACTTGAGGCAGTCGGTGGCGTGTCCGATCATCCTCAGGGCTTGAGCCCCTTCCAGCTCATCAGGCATTCGCTATCGTCATTGTCTTTCGGTCATGTAAAGCCGCTCTTCGCCACTCGTACTCTTGCTATCAACACGAGCATCACGATTGCTCTATGGGGTTTGATTGGCCTCGCATCACCTCTGTTCAACGGTACGCGACCCCTCTCCTGCTCGTAGTCTACCTACTCACGTTCATATGTAGGCTTCATCACGCTCTACCTGAAAGCTCGCACAACTGGCAGCGGTAGCTTAAACGAAACGTACCTCAACTACTCCATCATCTCCATCCTTGGTGCTCCCGGATCTGTCATCGCCTGTATCATCGTCGATAGAACGCGACGCAGTCGGTCAGGCTTCGTTCTCGGCGGACGCAAGTACGCGATGGCCTTGTTCACCGCTCTCACGGGGGTCTTCTTGTTCTTGTTCACGACGGCTACGAATCAAGCGGGTGTATTGGGATACAACTGCGCCAGCACGCTCACCACGAATGCCATGTTCGGCGTCTTGTACGCGTACACTCCCGAGGTGTTCCCAGCGCCTCATCGAGGTTAGCATCGGTTCTCGTCATCTGCTGAGAAGTGTTCGAGCGTCCCTGATCTTCGTGTAGGGACCGGAGATGGTCTTGCGAGCTCGACAAACCGGATACTCGGCATTCTAGCGCCCGTGATTAAGATCGCCACCACCAAAGGTGCAACCACAGTCGCAAATACGAACGTGTATGTGTCAGTCTGACACGCCACGCTATCTTACTGAATGTTGCGAGCAGACCGGTATTTGTGTCCGCGAGCTTGTTCCTCGGGGCCAGCATATTGATGCTCCTACTGCCCATTGAGGCGAGTGATACGGGTCGAGACGCACTGTGTCGTAGCTGATCATGCTCTGCAGACCGCAGGAAAAGCCGCTCTGTAAGAATGTAGAGTAGCTCCTTTGAGTCTACTGTATCCGTCGCCATTACCAGTGCGATAGAGCCCCTAAGTACTCTGGTACCATCATCTGCCCGGAGCATCTGCGCCAGTACTACCTCTTCCGGTCAAACATGTCATGACTCGCAGAATTTCATCGCATAGGACGCCACAGCGAGCGCTATTCGCCCGCGATCGACAAGTATAATGTGGCAATGGCTGAAGTCGGCGAGGTAGAGCTCGCGCAATCATGATGTTACAACAGTAGGTATACAGGATTCAGTCCGTATAGTATGCTCAGTTCGAGACCTTGTCCGGGACATCGACGCTATACAAGCATCAGCAGCGCCCTCGAGACGAGTGACTCGGATACGCACCCAGTGTCCTTCTCAAAGGTGTTGCGAGCAGTGTCCGTGACCTTCTCGTTGATGTTGCGGTTCTCGGGGATCCCCTCCTTCTTCTCGATGGCGTCGAGGCCTGATGAAAGAACGTCAGCAACAACGCTCAAGAGGGCGGAGGACGACGACACGCACCCTTGTCACCGTAGTCCTCCTGGCCGGTGCTCTGGTTCTGGGAACCCGAGTTCAGCGCCTGCTCGCCTTTGTTGAGGATAGAGTCCATGATAGTCGTGAAAGGTAAGAGTGAAGTGGGTTGTGTGAGTCGTGAAGGTGATTGGATTGGTGATACCAGTACCGCAACGGGTTTTTATACGGTTGAGGCAGCGGCGACGTCAGTGAAGAGCTAACGCGTAACGACGCGGGTCATGAGCGAGTAAGTGGAGTGTAGCCGCGACTGTGTGTATAGCGTGGGTGGAGGCGGACTGCGTATACAGTGAATTTCGGTCCATCAGACCTCTTTCTCCGTATGGAAGAGCGTCTCGCTGGTCACCAGGCGGTCGTCGAGATGGCGAGGCTCGCAGGCACACACTTGGCCTGCGTCATGGGCAAATACAGCCTAGCGTACCTTGACCGCATCTGTATTCCTTTCATGGTATATAGCGTCCGAGCACTACGGAGCGCGGATAAGTCGTCCGAAGGGCCAGACTGGCGACACGCGCGGCTGAATAGCACACGTCATGGATCGAACTTGCGATCCTTCAACTTCCTCTGAGTTGCCAACATTTACTGGTCTGGCCAGATTGGTATCCTGCACAGATGTACCGGGTGGCAGAGCGCGTCCCGCAATGTTGGGTCATGTATGGAGTAGTCTGGCGTAGATGACCGTGTGTTCAGGGAAAAGACTCTGAGAGACTCTCAAGAAGTTATGAAGCAAGGGCTAGCAAGTTCATCGTTGCCCCCTAGGGGCAAGGTTCCTACTCTGCCAGCCAGGATCATATGCGAGCAGGGCAGAGCAAGTTCATAGGTGCATATGCTCGTTGCAACGAGCAAGACGTGCAACGCGCCATGCCATTCGTCGGCGGCGAAGTCGTGTGCCTTGATGACATCATTCCAAAGGCGTCATTTGGTTGCCCTGCCTATGCTCAGATGCAGTACCTTGCGTTCTCGCGAACTATGATACTCGTTGTGGCCCAGGTCCAACCTCAAGCTCAATGATCACACAATAGGTACTTCGTAGAGTCCATGAATGCTATGCGTCTATAATCCTACACGATTGAATTGTACAAAATGTCCATGATAATGATATGCAGCGCTCAGTTCGAGAACTTGTCGGGGATGTCATACCTGATACAGTGTCAGCATATGCTACACCAAGTGCTCAGCAGAAATGGACGTACCCGGTCTTCTTCTCGAGGAAGTCCCGTGCGCCGTCGGTGATCTTCTCGTTCGTGTTGCGGTTGACGTTCCAGCCCTGCTTCTTCTCGAAGCTGTCGAGGCCTGAAAGTGAACGTCAGGATCAACGTGCCACTGGCTCAAGCACGCGCAAGACGTACCCTTGTCAACGTAGTCCTCGTTACCGCCACTCGTCGCCTGGCCGGCATTGACACCCGAGTTGAGGCCGGACTGGCCCTGCGTGCCGGTCTGGTTGTTGAGCATCGACTTGCCCTTATTGATGAGAGAGTCCATGATAGTCGTAAAGGGGTGGGTCGGTTTGAGTTGAGTGAAGAAGGCGGTGGGTGGTGGTTGAGTGAGGGAGTGAGAAATGGCGGACGCAACGACCTATATAGGAATTAGACGACGGGCCGACGTCAGCGCCAAAGCGGAGTGGCGCATCAATTCTATGACGCGCATAGGGCGGGTAGGTGGAGAGTCGCTATGGCGTACAGCTGCGCGTCGGTCGAAAGACCTCCGAAAGAGCGTAGAAGTTCCTGGGGACCTGGAGTCGGTCCTTGGCAGATGTCATGGCGGTACTGCCGGATGGCCGCTGATTATTCTGGGAAGTCGAGGCCTTCGGCGTGTCCCAAATATTCGGCGGGCGCGCACGAAACGAGGAAGATAGGTCTCAGTGTGCGCAACTCATCCCCGTGGCGCGTAATTGATATAGATACGCCTCTGCGACGCGCTGGTACGCCTTCTGGCACCGGGGGCACCGCACGCGACGGGACGCACCGATCACGGGTTCGGGAAATAAAGACGCGTGACGTCACGCGTCGCCACCTGCATGCCGAGCGATCGCCTTTCCAACGCCTTTCTTCCGTGCATGGTCTGCGTCTGGAGACCAGCCGAGCGGCCCCTGCATTCTTCCAGCATCCATGTCAGCCCCAGACAACACGCTGCTAGAAACGAGCGATCCAGAGTTCGTCACGGTCATCGTATCAGGTAAAACACAAGACTGGACACTAGACAGAAGTGGACGGTGAGAAGCGGAGCTCGAATAGGGCGCATGGAGTTCAGACAGAACCGTGTACGAGGATGATGAGCGAGATGTGAGGCGAAGAGAGAGTGGACGGCGAGACTGGCGGCGTAGAGGGTGCTGGGCGAGCGTACGGGTGAGTAGATCAGATCAAAGGGGGCAGGGTAGAGAATTCCGGAGGTTACAGTAAATGAGGGCCAGGCTCGACAGTTCAAGGTTAGAATCAAGGGATTATAGACAAGAAAATGAGAAGGGTGGGAGTATAGGGGATGAGGAGGAAGAGAGTGCGGAAGCGGACGGGGTGATGTGGTGTAGCTTAGTATCTGAGTACCAAGTCCATCGTCGAGCGCGTGAGTACGTATGTAACGAGAAGAAAGGTCAGGGTCAGATGGGAAAGGGGAGAGGGGGTGCGCGCGGCGGGGTCAGAACAGTCAACATAACGAGACGAGGCGAAGCGAAACAATCCAGAAGAGAGAGCAAGGGGAGGAAGAAGAGGGGAGTGGGTATACCAGCGACCACGATGCGCCAGGCCGTACGCGAACCACTAAGCCCTATGCACGGCCAGCGCGATATACAGCTATCGTATCATCACATGTCCGCTCTCATCATTGCGCGTATCCGTATGCTCCATACCCCTCCGAGCTTTGTGACGGGTATGGACTGTGCCCGTACCCCTGCTGCTGCTGCTGGGCGAACTGGCCCTGCGTAGGCGTACCGGGCCCAGCATTGTGCGAGTATTGCGTTGGTGTGCCGGGTCCTGGGTACGGTAATGCGGGGCTGCCAGGCGGCTGATACGCCGCTGGAGAGACGGGATGCGCGCCGGCGGTGTATGTTGGGGAAACAGGGTGTGCACCGGCTGTGTAGATAGGCGCGGGTTGTGGTTGGGTGCCGGGGTATGGCAATGATCCCGGACCCGGGCTTGAGGGCGGAGCACCGTACGCGGCAGGGGCGTATGCGGGCTGTATAGGCGGCGGTGATGTACTCCTCGGCACGACGGGCGCAGGGCCGGTATGTTGAGGGCTGACGTACGGCGACCCCTGCGCGCTACCTGTTTGCTGCCTCTGAGGCTGCATCTCCCGCATTTGGTACTGCTGTTGCTGTGGAGGCGGTGCACGCCCGTATGGGTGTGTCGGTGTTCCCGGCGGCGGGCCAAAGTCGACGCGGGGGAATGGACCGGATACGGATACGGGCTCCCACGGACTTCTCTGTTGTTGAGGTGGAGGCTGGTGTGGCGCGTGCGTGTGGTATGAGGGAGTGTAGCCTGGGTTGGGTTGTGGGTTGGCCTCGGATGGTTGGCGCGAAGCGTCGTGGGCAGTTTCAAAGCTGTCGTCGCTGTCGCTCGCCTGCCTGACTGGCATACGGCCGTCCGCGCGCGGAGAGACAGGGTAAACGGCACCGCCTTCGCCATCTTCGTATCTCCTCCCACTGCTGTCATACCCTCCTCCACCTTCTGTCCTGAATGTCGGTGCACGCCCATGCTGTGGCGCAGGTTGCTGAATGTTGAATGCGGGGTTCGTCGCGTTGCCGATAGCACGACCCGACGAGTCCCATTGCTGAGTGCCAGCATCGCCGCGAGGAGAATACGCGCCGTTGTCCGGCGCGTGCAGTGATACGTTCACAGCGCTCATACCCGGCTCCGCAACATATGGCGATGCACCTCCGAGTCCACCAGAGTACGGCGTAGCGCCAGGATCCATCGCGAGTTTCTCTCCTCGAGCCTTTCTCCGGTCGTAGATGTACGCGGGCTTGACCCTGTTCATCTCGCGGTAGATGTACCACATCGCCAACGCCGTGATGGCGACTGTTACGCCTACAACGGCATAGGAAGCCAGACGCTGAGCAGTTGTTTCCGAGTCCGAGGTGTCGATGAGAACACCGAGGTAGACTGTGACGAATTGTTTGGGCAGCGAAAGTAGGGCGGCAAGCGAGAATACGAATATGCCCATGCCACAACTTGAGAAGACCGCGGTAGTGAAGTGGCCCGGAATAGCCGATAGACGCGCGACGAGCGCAATCTTGAATCCTCCCTCCCTCACCACCCGCGCCAGGACACCATACGTGATGTTCGTCCTCTCCAACTTCTCGCCCCTGGCCCTACAGCACCACCTAAACGCATAGAAGTTCCCGATTTCGCCAATGAAGGTTCCCGCACAGACGATGGCGAAGCCAAGCCCGAGTCCCCAAACGATACCACAGAGCACCGCGATAATCTCGTGTCCGAATAGCGGGGGGAAGGATATGACGAATAGGATGCCGATTGGGATAAGCCATCCCGCAGGCAAGTCTTTGAGGAAGGTAGCCGCCGGCTTGAGGTAGTCGACAATCTGAGTATGGAAGATCGTGACGAGTGCGACGACGGCGACGATGACTGCTGTCAGAATATAGTACCCTGGGCATCAAATCGAATTAGTTGTTGGCCGCGGGATGCGGGGAAGTGAATTAGACGCACAGAGCCACTCGCGCCTAATCCAGAAGCGCCAGTTGCGGAGCCGCTTCCAGTCGAGTGCGCCTTCTCGCGCGAGTTCTGCTGCTTCAGACGGGGTGGGGCTCGGTGTGCGAGCCAGAGAGCGGGCTGATGCGAGAGCCGGGGACTTGCCCACGAGCTGGGCCGTGCTCGATGCCGGGTTTAGGTTGGGTGTTGAGAAGGTAGTGGATGCCTGCGGGGGATACAGATAGGGAGACGAGGAATTTGTCGGATTCGCATATGGGCCGCGGTAGGGGCTGCTCATCGAGAGCACAAAGAGATGGTGGGGAGAGGAAACAGGTGGTTACCGTTAGCTCTTCCCGCGCCCGCTTACGACTCCAATTCAACAGGCTTCTTCCTCCACCGCCACCACCCGCCATGGCCTTCTTTCCCCTTGTTCACTCTGTATAGCTCTC